AAGGAACCATTCCTAATTCTACTCTGAACTAATTCAATGTGAAAAATGTCACCAAGTGAGCAATGCTAGCTTGCATCCTGATATCCCATTATTCTTTCAAAATTGTACAGGAATTAACAGTATTTCACCATTTCATTTTCATTGATTTGAGATCATAGAAAAATCACTGAGGGGTTCCAAAAGCTGGGCTTTATGGATGATTATTATTCCACCTATAATAGCTGTTCTCACATCTCTCTCATGAGAAGAACCAGCTCCAGGTGAAACTGTGAAGAAAGCCCAGTGTGTAGCAGGAAGTGTTGTTTGCCATGCTTCTTTCTCCACAAGTATCTTTTTATTTCATCTCTCAAGTCAGTGTCTTGTTTTACGTTCCTTGCTAAAATGGGGTTCCTGAAAGCAGAGGTGGGCCTTACTCATCTCTGTATACCTAAGCTCCCTGGCACAGTGCCTGACACACAGGAGGGGCCCAGCTAAGGCTTCAGAATTGAAAGCGATCCGTATGCGGTTTAATGAGAGCTCACTTTTCCACCTTCATAGCTGACATCATTAGTGGCTGGAATGCTAAAAATCTCATTCTAGCAGCTTCCTGCTGGGGCAGGTGGAGAACGGGAGCTGTCAGAGGAGAGAAGTCTCCTCTTTGGCCCTTCAACCTCAAGACTTGAAAGTCTTCCCTTCCACCTTAGATTTCACATAGCCAAAACTTACCCACAATTCAAGGTTAATTGCTAATGTCCTCTCTCTTGCAAATACTTCCCTACCTTCTTTGCTTAGGAATTTTTGTTTTCCAGTGCTACAAGGCACTTTATGTATACTGCACATGTGCTCCCTCATTCTGCAAATATTTCTTGGTACATAAAGTCACTAGACCTAGCACAGTGTACCAGACTTTTAAATTCATATGTCTTCTCCAAAACCCACAACAAAGGGATTAATGTGAGTGGCCAATACTCTGATTGGCTGTCAAGACTCCATTGATTTTTAGATGCATCACAGATTGAATGCAGCCTTTCAGCAAAAGACAAAGAATTAAAAAGAGAAAGAGAACAAAAACACACTACCCTGTACTATAACGACCAACAGAAACACTAATGCTTCTGGACAATTCACCACGTGCAAGGCTCAGGGCCTCATGGTGCATCACATCACTTAATTCTCACCATACCCCCACCTGGCAGGCTTCTATCCAGATGATTCACAAGGAGAAACACAGCTACAGAAAAGCCTATGCAGTAAACAAGCGATGGAGCTTAGATGTGAACTCAGGCAACTCAGTTGGGCTCCATAGCCTATGCTTTAAAAAAAAAAAAAAGAACCACTTCATATAATAAACTTTATGTTTAATCAAAATATCGCATACACAGAGAAACATGTGTAAATCATATTTGTACAGCTTAAGGAAATTTTACAGATTGAGGACACCAATATAACCACCACCCAGATTGAGAAATGTGGTATGATCAGCAACACATAACCCTGCCGTGCTTCCCCTGAGCCACTGTCCTGTCCATCACCCAGAGGGAATTTCCGTCCTCTCTACTAATGTCGTATACTAGTTTTTACTGTTTCTGATTGTTATAGAAACATATATATGCTTTTGCGTCTTTTATGTCTTACATAATTCAAGATTCTACTTGTGAGATTCATTAATGGTCATGTGTATGGTTGATGGGCTCATTAGTATTCATCATGAATAGTATTCCATTGTCAGATTATCCTATAACTTGTTTATTTACTTTGTTGTTGTTGATGCCATTTGTGGATTTTCCCCCAGCTTTTTGGAAGTGCAAGTAAATGCTATACTAGAATAACGAATACTTTGTTAGCAGTACATTTATTACTAGGAGTGTTATTGATGAGTTAAACAATATGTGGACATTCAACCTTAATAGACACTGCCCAATAAGTTTACATAGTGATCATAATAACTTATAAGCCTACTATTAAGGTACACGAATTCCAGTTTTTCCATATCCTCACCAACAGTTATCATCATTAGTTGTTTTAAATTTAGCCACCCAAGTGCGTAGAGCCTGTACTGCTAAATTACTCTGCCTTCCATAGTGTGAGATTCCATACTTTCCTAATAATCTGTCAGAGACTAAAAACAATAAAAAAAGTTCAACTGGGAAAGCACCTTACATTTTACCACCAATTCTACTGGAATGCTAATCCTTTTGCTTCTGACTCTGCTCCTCCTTACAGTCTCTCCTCTGATTTCTCTGCTGCGACTCTATGGCCTATTATTGGCTATCTATAATTATGATCTATTATTAATTAATTTCTAACATTGCATGGGATTGGAACTTATTAATTATTTAAACACTCACGATGCACTTGCCTAGCGATGTCATGTCAAACAAGGTTTATTAGTGCAGCTTGGAAAATTCAACATAGCACAGATCCTTTTGAATGGTGATGACTGCAGTCTTTCATCCCTCTTGCAGTGAAACCAATGCACACATGTGCACTAAGATGAAGACAAGTCTTAAGCATGTGTCTGCCATTGCTCCAAGCCCAGACTAAGGGCCTGTGGGCAACCCAAACAGGATAATAATTTAGTGCCCTAATCAAACCAATATTCTTCATATATCCATACAACTTTTCTTTAAAGCAGAGTTTTATGGGAAAAGGGCTGAGAAAAGGACCCACAGCTGCAGAAAATCATTCCATTTCTCACCCCGAGCACCTCTGCTCTGGGTGCACCTGGGTGCAAGCACTCTCTCTACAGAACTGGGTACAGCATCCTTAGAAGGAGCTCAGAAGTATCTAACTGTAATTGGCTCATGCCCCTAGGAGATCTCACCCCTTTCAACTTACTGTAGTATTCTTTCCAACTACATACAATATTCTCCCTGAAGTGAATGCTAGTACTTATGCTTTTCTCATTTTTTTTTTTTACATTTCCAAAGACATTTTACAGTCCCTGTAGGACAGTATTCTGGGTCCCTCTGTGGCTGGCTTGTTATTTAATGTAATTCAGATTAGATCAGAAAGGCAACTGAGTCATCCTGTGGATCGCAGTCATTCTCAGCAGCATGATACAGTACACAACCTTCCCAACTCTGACTTCCCACAATCACCATTTTCTACTTCAACTCTACTGCAATGAGAATTCACCTAAAATTGGTGTAATGTAATGCTGAGAGCATGTTATGTACCAGTGTTTACATATCTTATGTTATTTAATCATTACAATAACTCTTGGGAGGTGCTTCAATGAAATAGTTAAGGACATGGGGTCTGGAGCTGAAGAAATCATGGGTTGAAGCTCAGCTTCATCACATACTAGAAAAAGCACTGCCTTTTTAATCTTTAAAATGAAAATAATATTTAATCCTTAAAATTTTAATCTTTAAAATCATCACCTTCTGGGTTGATGTAGGGATATAATGAGATTATCTTAGTAAAGTGTTTGGCACGTAGGATGTGATCAATGGATATGAGTTATTTTTATCATACTCTGTGAGGAAGACACTGTCATTATTCCCATTTTACAAAGAAATGAAAGGTTAGCCAGTTGAACTTGCCCAGGATCAAATAGCCCATACAGAGTAGAGATGGGATTCGAACCCAGATCTGTTCAACTCCAGAGTGAGTGTTACTATGAGCCAGCCTGACACCTGTAAGTTCACTGAAATCACAAATTTAATGTCAACAGTACATAACTCCAAGGAAAGCTACTAAAGCCCTCTGCTTTCTGCTGATTTCAGTAAGGTCATTTGGTGTGTATGAGAATAGTCCTTCAACCAGATTGTCTTTGCACCATCTTTAAATTATGTAATGCAGAGAAACCTCAGCACATGTTTTACTAAAGGCTACTTCAAATCTACCAAAAGTAGAAATGATGGCAGTCTGCTATTAACTAATCTGTGTGTGTATGGAACCATCTTAGTTCTTAGCAATTACCGCTTCATTTCCTTTTAAAACTACCATTCTGGGGAAATATCAACATCCTGAAAAATCATGTTAGTTTCATTCCTCCATGAGAAGTTGAAAAGGTGAGAATAAACACACTGAAAATCAGGAGAGCTGGGTTCTAGGAGCTTCCAGTCAAGGTGCCAGGGATATTCTGATTAAGCATTAATTCAGAATGGCCCCAAGCCAGCTATGCAGTGGTAGAATAATAGTCACCGAGAGTGGGAGGAAGGGGCATGACTACAAATGCCAGTCCAGAAGTCAGAATGCTGCATGTAAGCCAGTTCCAAAAGTAAAATCATGTTTGGTGACATTTAAATTTCTAGAATGCTTCCCTTAATCGAATTGGGAGGTGGGGGGAAAAGCAGCCTCTGCTAAAAGTCTCCAGGTCAGTGCTAGGATCAGATCTAAGACTACAGGTTTAATTAAATCAACAAACATTGTAGCTGTCAAATATGTACTGGGAACTGGGGCTTAAAAAGCTAAGTAAGTTATTTTCTTTGACCTTGAGAGACTTGCCACGTAATGGGCCAGAATGATACCTAAGCAACTAATTAGAACACAGTAGAGTAAGTCTATGATGAAGTTAACTACAAGGTACAAAACGTACAAGATGTAGTCTCCATCCTTTCATGAGTAAAAGACAAGCAACTTTGACTTGTATATTTAGAACCTATGGATTAGCCCAAAGTCTGTTCCCAGTACCAGAGTCACAATAGAAAGCATCTCATTCTCCAATCTGTCACCTTCATGACTCTCCAATACACTATTAAGTAATGGTCTTTAAAAACGAATGATCCCAGGATGAGTCAGAGAGTGGTTTATCCTCTATCGTGTTTTATATAAACCCAAAAGTAGTGTAGTCATGCTGAAATAGAAGGCACCGAGGCCCACCAATGGAGGACACTTTTAGGAGCGTGGAGCATGGCATATTTGATGATTACTTTATACCATCTACAAGGCAGCCGCCTACTTCAACAGCGTGAAGAGCACTTCCTCGCAGAAGTTCTCAAGACTCTGAAGCAGTGGGCCTTTCAGTTCTCCAAGAGCTACTTGGTATAAGCTACTGGAGATGCCTTCCCTACCTGACATCTGCAGGGTCTTCCGTGACGAGGACGTCTGTCTTGCAGCTGGCCAGGGGGTTGATGGACAGCTCCACGGGCGGAACCACGAAGCTTTTGCTGACAGGAAGCCAGAGGCCTTGGCCCAAGCTGAAAGTAGACCTGCAATGTAAGAGTTTCCATTGGGGATCTCCCTGAGAAGCAGAGAGAAAACAGAAAAAAGGGGCCCCTCTTCTATCCCTCCTAGGAACCTTTACCATTTCCCCACCTAATTGAGTCCCCTGCATTTTTTGTGTCCAAGACACAGTTTTGGCCAACTTTGCTCGGACTTGGGTGGCCATTTCTTAAATCTGTGAGTCATTTAGTCCATGCATTGCTTTGTATTGTCAGTTTTCTTTTCCTGAGTCCAGGTTCTAACTCCTGGTACACTGTGAGGACAGTTTAAATCTTTAACTGCTTTTCCAAGCAGTCCCGACAGCCAGCTGGAGTTCCATAAGCAACTGCAAAGTCAGTGTGTGTAGTCTGCACAAAGGTCAAGACCACAGACTCTCAATCAGTTTGAACCCAAATCTCATTCCCAGTTCTGCCACTTAGTTTGCTGTAGGTCTTTATCAGCTTGAGTATTGAAGTTTCACACAGGATTTCATGGAGATGGCAGGAAAAGGGTCTATGGTTACAGAATATCTTTAAACTGCTGGACTAGATAATCAGTAATGTCTTCTTCAGTTTAAGTATCTGAATCTGTAGGTCTAGGTGCCAGATAAATGGGAATTAGATTCCCATAGCAACGTGGGCCATGATGATACATTTCCTGCCAGTGGGAGTTACTCTGTCCTCACTGTAGCCTAGAGGCTCACGGGCTCCACCATTAAGGACGCATGACTACGCCTTTCTGTCAAACCCTTCTCTGTTTCCTAGCACCACGCCCCAGCAGGATTGCCGACCCACCTGAGAATCTTTTCAGGGGCCTGCTCCCCCGTCACCAGGTCATAGCCCCTCTCAAGGGTAGTGTAAGGCCAAGGTCTGTAGGAAGAAGGGAGGGGAAAGAAAAGGAGATAGGAGATTGCATTAGTCAGAAGCAGGTGGGATTCCTATGTGGACACTGCTTAAGAGGAGCTTTACATAACCAGCTTCCATGGATGTAATTACTGAGTAAGACTATTCACATTATAAAAAACTGTCTCCGTTTCACAGACAGACACAGCACTTTAAAATCTACTTGTCCGTTTTGGACTTTATGGACAAAAACCTGGTTCTCTTCACCAGCACACGTAAGGAAGTGTTCATCGACCACTTAAGAGTTTGAAAGGGGAAGTTACACTTCAGCCTGTGTTCTCTTGAATATTCACCTTTAATACTGACATGTGATTCAGTGGGAAGCAGGATTTACTTCCCATCACGTTTTGCAGGAATACAGCTGTTGCAGAGAAAAAGTTCTCTTTGTGGAGCTGTTTGGGGCCTCCCATGGGAGAACCAATCTCTACCTCTGCCCCAGTGTCCTTTGCCACTCACCCTTCGCTCTGTCCCCAGTCACTGCGCACACACAGGTGTCTGTGAACTGGGTCAGGGGCATAGCCTTCATGACAGCTGCACTCTCCTGTAAGAAAAAGGAGAAAAGGGTCCTGTAAACATTGCCTGCCCCAAACAGGCTTCTCCCTTGGTTTCCTTGTTTTCCTAGAAAATGAAGTGAACTGCCTAGTTTTAAAAAAGGCCCATGGGAAGAGGTTGTTCTGGTCAACCTGCCACTGTGATTGTTAAAGAGTTTATTAATTTGGTCCTTCACTCTTATTCACTCAACAAGCCCTGACCATGTTCCCAGCCAGTCTCTCTGCTGAGCACTGGGAATGCAGAGGGCAAAGGTGAGACCCAGACACTGACAGGCTCACAGTTTCATGAGGGAGACAGGAAGTGACTCGGTAGCTACAAGTGGAGGCCCTGTTTTGAATATTTAAATTGTGATAAGGTACATTTGCACTGGAAGTATAATCAGACAACGGAATTTTCTCCACCTGAAAGAGCAATTCTTGTTCATCCATAAGCCCCAAATCAAAGGCCACTTCCTCCGAGATACTTTGATTTCATCCTTTGGGAGAATTTGTTTTCACCTAATATTTCCAGATTTTCTTTTGCTTTGTTCTTGTCTGTGTTAATTGGTGCCCCCCCCACCCCTCTTCCCCTCCACTCCTTTCCCTTCTTACTCCATTCCCGTCCATCTAACTACCATCCATCCATTCATCTATCCATCCATGTGCCCATGGATCATTTTTTTCTGCCAAAATCTTATGCCTGGTGGCATGAATGTTTGCTAGAATCCACCCCTGACTTGAGTATATTCTCCCGTTGGTCAAGTGCCTTTTGGGTGGCCACCACATATCTCATTTCCTGATCTTTAGATCACATGTCTCAAATCTTCAGAGTTCAGAAACCCGGCAGGGTTTTCAGAAGCTTTCTGTCCTACCCTCTAGCCCTGCTCCTTAATTATTGGTTTTTCCTAAGGTGTATTTGTGGAATGTTCACAGATGATTTACCAAAAATAGATTCCATAAGTTAAATTATTGGGAAACAGAATACTGTTCATGAGAGAGAGTGGTGTGTAATTCCTCATGGGAAAGACATGCACATAGTCTTCCCCAAACGTATTTCACTTTGGGAGGCTTACTGGGTTAGTGTTCTGTACAACAGGCCTTGGGAAGTGCTAGGAGAATCTGCCCTGGCTTACGCCCTGCCTAGAACAGGGTAGATGCCCAACCCAGTGAGCTGAACAAGTAATTATCTGTGACAGCTCATACATTTCAGACGATTGCTGCCAGGCCGCCTTCTTTTTTCTCATCTTCTGCTGATCACACTCACACACTCTTCCAGATGAACCTGAAATTCTTCACTTCTGCAATGATTCTCGTTGGCCTGACCCCAAAGTTTCCAAATCGTGTTTCTCAAAAATGTACAGTTTGGTAGGGAAGATGTAGAGGCTTTGCCAGCTTTTAGATTTTAACTTCCCTCAAAACTATATTTGCATCTTTTTACTAATGAAAAAGGAAGGCTAAATACTCAGATGTTACAGGTGAGAATTTAAGGCACTGGAGAGCATCGTCCCATTAACCCCAGTTCCCAGGTAAACTTATTTTAGGTAGGCCCCATTCACAATAAAAACAAAATAAAAAACAAAAAAGCCCATCTCCTGTCATCTTTGGTTCACCGCAGAGAATAACAGAACCGAGTCAAGGTGCAAATGATAAGCTCCTGTTCTTTACAACTCCCCGTCTCCTGAATCAGGATTTTTCTCAACCATTTGCTACCGAAACATCACTCCTGATTTTATGGATGTTGGTATTCCTCAAACAACCTTATTGTTTTCACTGATTCACTATAAATGTTAATGCACTTGACCTTAGACAAAGCACTTTCAGGGTTAAAGAAAACACTCCAGCTTGGTTTATACATTATAATGCTGCTGAAATCTTTGTACCTCCAGCATTAGCAAGTATCTGGCGAACAGCCTGGGCTTAATAAATAAATGGTGGTTGAACTAAAATGGTAATAAGACAGAACAGGGAGGGGAGAAAGGGTCAGAGAGATGGTATTAAAAATATTCAGAGTTAAGACTGCTGAAAGACAGGAGAGAGAGATCTACCTTTCCCCTCCTCTGGGCACCTGGTAAATAGGAGGGGCTGCCTGCAGGCAGGAATGCATTCTGTCACTCTTCTCTCCAACAGCACGCCTGGGGTTTCCCACCAAAGTGTGTGCTGAAAGTATGCACACCTGAATGGACTGATGGTTGCCAGAGGTAAGGAAAATGGAGGCAAAGGGCTGAGATCCTTGAAATTTGGGTGAGAATAATTTACCAAAGGGGAGGAGCAGTAGAAATCACTAATAATGTGTTGAAATGCAACAGCCCCTTCATGAAATATTCACTATTTGAAACATGTCTAATATTAAATATTAAAAGTCCTGGGATTTGTCCTCAAGACTCCCAGGACTGATTTATGATCTGCCACAAACCACAGGCCTCATGATTCATAATGGGAGAAGTAAAACGGTTGCCTCTGGTTACCTCTGGCAAAGCGACAGCAAGTCTTGGGGGAGTGGCCAAGGCCGGTCGGGGAAGGCACAGTGGAGGTTTCTGTCTCTCCTAACAATGACCCTGCAGGGCGGGACACAGGCCAGTGTTCCTCCTTTCCTTCCTTTTGGGAAAATTAGGGGGAATGAGAAATCTATAGGGAGAAAGGGTGTTCCTATTTTTTTCTCTTTCTTTCTTGCGGTGTGTACTTACTAGGCAAATTTCTGGCCCAGAACGGATCATTAATTACTGATGCTCATTATACAACAAATATGTATTTTTGCAAAGGAGAGGCATCCACCCTGGAGGCACCCATATGGCTGCCTGGAGAACAGGAAGTAAGGCAGAGGGAAAGTATGAAGGCTGGGCTCCACCCTCACTTTCTCTCTCTAGGTGTGTGTCCTTGGGGAAGTTACTTCATCTTTTGCCGTCTCAGTCTTCTCACCAATAGAATGGGAGTGACGGTAATGCCACTCCCATGGAGCTGCTGTAGGAATACTTTGAAGGAATGAAGGGTAAAGTTCATGGCTCAGGCAGACAAGGACTGAGATGCTCAATGAATGAACTTCCTCTTTCCCTTTCATTCCCAGATGGCCACTAGGTTCTGGTATATGCTGACATACTAACTCTACGTCCACTGGATAAGTAATTTTCTCCTTCTTGGGCCTTAGTTTCCCCATCTGCAAAATGGAAAGCTGGAGTTGACGTTCATCAGTTCTGAGTGCCAGTGAGTATCAGTCATTGGCATTGCCCTTCCAAATCCCTAACCTCGGTTTTCTGGACACCATTTATTTCAGTCTTAGCGGCGATCACGCTTAGCAGTTGGGCAGGTTTCTCCAGCAGGAGTTCCATCAGTGCTGAGGCTATTGGCTTTATTGACTTCTATTTCCCATTTTGCTGGCTCAGCTAACTCTCTACTATTTCAACCAACATTTCCTTTTTGCAAGCTGTAAGCCTGTGTCAGCCAGAACTGAGGGTTAACCCCTTCCCCGGGCGAGTCCTTTCCTCAACTCTGCCTCTGCATACCCAGGGCAGCCAGGCTGTCAGACAACAGCTCCCCAGCAACACAGGCTCACACGGTTTCCAGGGGCTGATGGTGAATGCACAAGCCCCCATCGCCCTGGCCTAGTACAGACGCTCCTTGAAGGGACTGCAGCCGTCTTGTTCACCACGATATCTAGCCCCTGCTACATGGTCTGGTACATAAAAAAAGGAGGGTATATAGTTCACATTTGTAATGCCTATACCAATTGGATAGGGAAACAATTTTTTTGTTTGTCTGTTTTCCCCCATTAAACTGGGAGTTTCTGGATTGCAGAAACCTTTTCTTAATTATTTCCATACACTAGTAATTAACATAGTGCCTCATAAATGGTAGGCAACTCATTTGTTGAATGAATGAATGAATTAGCGATTGCATAAATATAATTCTCATAAATTCAGGCTGAGTTCATTTATAGTAATGACGGTTCTGCTGAAGACTGGGAGAAACTTTCTTACATCCATGACAGGTTTTTGCCAAGGAAATGGAAAGTGTAAACACAAGTGCTGATGGAATGTCTAAAATAGAATTCTATTTTACATCAGAGCAGGAAAAGCTCTTAAAGATCATCTAGTTCAAATCTTCCCACCGCTTTTTTTCAAAAAGGGAAACATAAGCTTAGAGAATAAAGACCTTTGGCCAAATCACGACACCAGCCTCTGGGCCAGTCAGGAGTAGAAACCAGGACTTTAGGCCACTACTTCAGCATCCTTTCCACTTCACTAATGGTCCCAATATTTCAATACACCAAGCACCATTTTCTAGAAACCCGTGCTTCCCTATGTATTCCTCTAATAGTTCTGAGTGTCCTATAATGAGAATGTATTACATTGCAAACACATTTTTTTAAACATAAAGAATTTGAAATATCCTTCACAGATTTAAAACATACATGTATATGTGATTGATAATGCAGACCTTGAAAAGGAGTTTAATCTCTTCATTAAAGTGGTTCCCATAAGGGAATTCAATTAAGCAGATTGTCATCAAGTTAGTTACTAGAACTCCACATTATCAGCTATAGATGAGTTTCATTGGTTTAAAAATATTTACCCTTTATGTCTTTTAGGTCTCATTTATGGAGTTCTCATTTTACGTTACATGTGTTTTCACTTCATAAACTCTTGGGTAAAAACAAAAGAATCCCTCAATTCTGAACAATCTGAGCCTATCTTGTGTGGGGCTCTCCTAAACCACTTCAAAGTGGACAGTGCTTCCACATTAATCATGCAAGGCTGGTGGGCTGTTGAAACAGTTCAGCAGTGAGCCTGGCAATCATCTTGTTTGGGATTCAAATCTTGGATCTGCCATTTAGAATTTGTAAAAACTCGATCAAGTTGCTTCACCTCTCTGAGTTTGTTTCCTGATTCATAATGAGACTGACATCATTGATCTTCTGGAAAGATCAGTGATGTATCTGAAAAGTCCTCAACACAGTCTTTGGCACATTTCTTCTTGCAGAAAACATCACGGCTGTTTGGCATTTTGTTATTATTGT